TTTTTTTTTTTTTAATTTTTGGCCCGCCGGGTCGATGAACCGGCGGGTCCGGGCTCAAAACCGGTCCCGGACCGCCCCTTTGTCCGGTTCGGTTACGGGCCTCGGCCAGGCGGACCATCGACCCTTGGGACCGGGCCCGAACCCGTTGAATGGCCACCTCTAGCTTCTATGCATAATGCATGAACGATATACTTTGTTAAATTTCAATTTTACTACTGATCTATGATATATTGCCTACTAGTATTTATTGAAATTCTAAAACTAACATTCTTGTTCATAGTGTGATGGTTATTTCAGTTTTTTGTGTGGATTCATTAGAATCTTCAGAGTTAATTATGACATTTGATAAAGTTGAAATTCAAGAATATTTAAATAACCTTTTGATAAAAAAAAATGTACTAGTGTTTTTAATTTCTACTCCCTCCTATTTTTAATAAATGTCGTTTTGAGAAGTTGCACAATAATTAAGAATATTTTTTTTGCCAATAATAACATTCATTAATGAGGATAGAGATTGATGTTTTGAGAAAAGATGGAAAGTGAATATGAATAGACGTAGTGTATTTATTAGTTAGATGAGGGTAATAATAAAAAATATATACAAAATAGTCAAAACGACATTTATTTAACAAATGATCAATTAAACTAGGATGACAAATAATAAAAATAGGAGGGAGTAGTTAGTTATTATATTTTCAACATGAAGTGTTTGTTGAAAGAGCCTTTTCCTACCATTAACTGTCAATTAGTATATAAAACCCGTTTTAAAATGACATAATAATAATAATAATAATAATAATAATGTGAACGATTTTGTGATTTATATACGTCTTTTAACTCAACGTCCTTTAGAGCTGTCGGCAGCCACTTGGAAAGTATATTAGTTTATCTGAATTTTATAACTATTGTTCATCTTTCTTATGTAATAAAAACAGAAAAACAGTTGTGAAATTATTTCAGTCAACACTCAACAGTATTTATTATTTAAGTATATTTTTTAAGTAAAAAAGACATAATACTTTTTGTACCCATAATGCACACACCGTGGGTAATGCGTGTTGTACGCCACACACATGTTCAAATTTCAACACTTTTGGATATATTTCATTTTATTTTTATTCACAAATTAAAAATTATCATATGCATAAGTTAGGATATCATTCAAGTCCCAAAAAGTCCAACACTATCAAAGATTGAAGAAGCTAGTCATACTCCTATTTTCTTTATTTCCAATTATTTATTGCATGCTTGCATTGAATTTTGGTGTAGAAGTAAAGCAATTTAATAAATATATCATACATTTTGTTATTTTATAATAATGTATATAGGTGTAAATTTAATATTAGCTTCATGCAAATATACTTTTAATAGAATTTACCTAAATTTGACTAAAGTTGATACACATATATTTATTTTTTCATACATAATAATGCATGATTACTTTTGATCTTAGAAAGGTCCATATTAACATGTGATCTAAATATAAACATGAACATTTGAATATGTACAATTATTGATTTATTTATTTTTTTGTCGTCGAATCAACATATACATATTCGATCGGAATATTCGATCATATACATAATTACACAGTGCGATCATCTCGTTTTTTATCGTTGAGTCAATATACACGTACTTATACGGTGTGTGTTGGTCGAATGGTGAAATATCCAGTAATTGTATTAAAATTGTGTATAAATCGACCATGTGCATTCATTGTGTTTTTTTTTTATCATTGGACAAATATACACATATTTATTCGAGTGTGTTGGTCAAACAGTAAAATATAAAATATTGGATCAACATACATATATTTACACGAGTGTGTATTGATCCAATAATAAAATATGAAGGGGTTGAATTTAATTAAGTAATGTACAGGGTAAAATTCACAATATGGGTCATACTAAAGAATATTAATGGATGACTCACTTTAGATTAATACATTACCTTTAAAATTAATAATAAAATAAATTAAATATAATTTTATATCATTCTCAATGTCAAAAATTTTCCATTTAGCATTTTTTTTTTTCGTTGATGATGTAATGAGCAACTCACGACGGTATGACGTGGATGAATGATAACCAAGCCACCTCACACGCTTTGATCTGCCGACACGAAGAGTGGGCCTCAAAATCTTAAGCGATAAGAGTTCGGTATTGGGCCCCAAAATTAATTTCTCTATGGTATTATAAAATAATATTGGGGCCCAATATCTCAAACCACGACAAAGAATTAGCCTGCTGTACTTGTTGGCAGTCGATATCAAAATCAAACAAGTTTTGTCTCGTACTAAAAATAAGATGGAAAATTAAAAATAATTAAAAATAAAAAAATATTCAACTAAGTAAATAATAGTTAATGGGCTTAAGATAAAAGTATAATACTTAAAGTTGTTATGATTAAAAAATAAATATTCATTAATAGTTAGAATATGTAAGTGATAAGATTTTTTTTTTTGAAAAATATATTAAATATTTATTTTTATTACCAAATTATCTTAGTGATATCAGTGGAGTTAAAGCGAAATAAACTGAATATTAATTTTTTATGTAAAAAAATTATTTATATCATACATACATGTGGACATTACTTGAAGTCACAACTTTTTTCGTGTGGACCTGTAATGAGACAGCGGAGATGATAATGAGACTTCATTTTCAAGTAAAATTATTTTCTGTCTCATCTTTTGTTTTCGTCATTTTTTCTTGGTCCCTTGAGCATCACTCTTGTTCGTTATTTGATGATATTTTTTGTTAGAAATATCAGTTAGAAACATCCAAAATTGTGACTTACATGGTATTTTAAAAATTACATATTTTCGAACTTTTGACTTATTTGGTTTAAATTTTTCAGAGAATTCTAATTGATTTCAAATTGAAAATCATTTCAAATTCATTAGTTTTCAAAAGCTAAACATTGTTCTTATTTTGGACTCTTTGGAGTAGTGTTCAATTACTAATATTTTATATACTTAATAGTTCAAAAAAAATATAGGTGAATGCACATTTTTTAAAAATAATATATAATATTCTAGATAATTTTACATATGTTATAAATATTGTCAATATTTTTAATATTTTAAATTAAACATATATGTTTTTGGTTATGTTTGGCAAGATAAATTTATATTGTAAATTATATCACATATTAACCTAATTTTTTAATTTATAATTATTAACTAATATTGTTTATCATAATTTTTAATTTATAATTATTATTTAATCTATCATTATATAAAAAGAATAACCTTTTTACAAATTTAGAAACATTTTTCCGCCAAAATCATTAAATATATCCTATATATGGTAATTGTTGGACAAATCTGAATAGGCAAAAAAATCCGCTCAATTGTGTAAAGATTTGTTTCTCTTTTTCCAGTTTCTTAGTTTATCGTGTTGACAATAAATATTTGTTTTTCTTTTTTCTACTTTTAGTATAAATTTACACGAGTTTATCTCTTCTGTTACAAAATCCCATTGCATACGATCTTACGTGTTTAAAAAATCTCATCTCTTATCTATACAGATTTGAAAAAATAAAATAAAATAGAAACTAATTCATAATTACTACTAGAAATCCATTATCTTTAAAAAGAAAAAATAAAATAAAATAGAAATAAATTCATAATTACTACTAGAAATCCATTATCTACTTTAAGAAGCTAATTTTCATCGGTCTAATTACTAATATTTTTACAAATATTCTAAGCTAACCATACAAAAAAGTATAATAATAATTTTGAAATGGTGTCTAATCAAATTTTTTTATATTCTCTTATATAAAATAATTTTACATTGTTTGACCCCGAATTTTTAATAAATATTATAAATATTGTTTATCCTCTTCTTTTATTTATAATTATTTTTTTTCTTCTTTTTTTTAAATAGGATCAAAAGTAGTTTTCACTTACTCAAACTCGAGGTCTATTTATAATATTGTTAATTTAATATTGTTCTCGTGCATCGCACGTAAGTACACGCACTATTTACCTCCACACAAAAAATTATACACACTCACACAAAAATCCTTCACGTGCAGCACCTCCAAGCACGCATTCGAGTAGTACGCTAGGGTACACACCCCACCTGCAGCGTTTTATTCTCTCAGTCACATTCTCCGGCAACCGGCGGCGACAGGAAGAGCCAAACCAAACCTCGATTAGGTCATAAGAGAAAAAAATAAAATAAAAAAGATGGGGGCGAGCAGCGACCCGAACCAAGACGGTTCCGACGAGCAGCAGCGCCGCTCAGAGATCTACACCTACGAGGCCCCATGGCACATCTACGCCATGAACTGGAGCGTGCGCAAGGACAAGAAGTACCGCCTCGCCATCGCCAGCCTCCTCGAGCAGTACCCCAACCGCGTCGAGATCGTGCAGCTCGACGACTCCACCGGCGAGATCCGTCCCGACCCGGCCCTGTCCTTCGACCACCCCTACCCGCCCACCAAGCTCATCTTCGTCCCCGACAAGGAGTGCCAGCGCCCCGATTTGCTCGCCTCCTCCTCCGACTTCCTCCGCCTCTGGCAGATCTCCGATTCCGACGCCGGCCGCCGCGTGGAGCTCAAGAGCCTTCTCAACAACAACCGGAACAGCGAGTTCTCGGGCCCGCTCACCTCGTTCGACTGGAACGAGGCCGAGCCGCGGAGGATCGGCACCTCCAGCATCGACACCACCTGCACCATCTGGGACATCGAGAAGGAGGTCGTGGACACGCAGCTAATTGCACACGATAAGGAGGTTTACGACATAGCCTGGGGCGGGGTTGGGGTTTTCGCATCTGTCTCAGCCGATGGTTCAGTTAGGGTTTTCGATTTGAGGGATAAGGAGCACTCGACCATAATCTACGAGAGCTCGGAGCCCGACACGCCATTGGTGAGGCTCGGCTGGAACAAGCAGGACCCGAGGTACATGGCCACCATCATAATGGACAGCAGCAAGATTGTTGTGCTCGATATTCGCTTCCCTACACTGCCTGTGGTGGAGCTGCAGAGGCACCAGGCAAGTGCCAATGCCATCGCGTGGGCCCCACACAGCTCGTGCCACATTTGCACGGCTGGCGATGACTCGCAGGCTCTGATATGGGACCTCTCGTCCATGGCCCAGCCCGTGGAAGGTGGGCTTGACCCGATTCTGGCCTACACGGCTGGGGCAGAGATCGAGCAGTTGCAGTGGTCATCTTCGCAGCCCGATTGGGTGGCGATTGCATTCTCGAACAAGCTGCAGATTCTGAGGGTATGAGTTTTTTAATTAATGATTGGTGTTTTGGTTGCAATTAGCCTGTAATCAGCTTGCTCTTAGATGTCAGCACGTGATTTTTATTCGATGGGATAAATTTGGCATTTGTTCGGTCAGTTTGTTTAGTGTTTGTACTTTGTTCGGAGGGATTAGTTTGTGAAAGAAGGGGAACTGCTTAGTTAATATTAATTATCCTTTCTAGTAATGGTTTGATCTCCTTCCTGGTTTTATTTGCGAAATGCCCTGTATATGCTGTGTTTTCATTCTCGAACAAGCTGCAGATTCTGAGGGTGTGAGTTTTCAATTAATGATTGGTGTTTTGGTTGCAATTAGCGGTGCTTTTAGTGACCTGTAATATATTCAGCTTGCTCTTATGTTATATGTTGGCACGTGATTTTTATTTGATTGGATACTTCGGCATTTGTTCGGTCAGTTTGTTTAGTGTTTTTCAGTCTTAAATGGTTATTTAGCTTTTGATGAGATTAATCGATACAGGGCTGGTTTCTATTTTTCAGTTCCGATTTTCTTTTTCCTTTTTTTTCCTTCACATTGTTTGGTTTGTTTACCGCTCAAAGTGCATTAGCACTCGCTTCTAGCCCAATCTTGTTCTGTATATAGTTGGTTGCTGAATAGAAGCACAAAAAGAGTACTATAATTCATAGCTTTTTGTTTTTCGTTGTCCTTTCCCTTATCTTTTCAATTGCTGTTGTATGACCAAAGTTGTGAGCTGTTTATTAGTTGGTTTTCGGCCTTGATTATGCATACTTTGCGAGTCTGTAAACAAGAAGCTGCTAGCTTTTTAGTGTCTTCCATTAGTTACGATACGACACTAAGACAAGCCCTCGAAGCATCTTAGGCCATCTTGCTTTCAAGGCAAGTGTTCATGGGGAACAAAGGGTGTCAATTTCGATATCTTTTTGCCATCTTGCTTTTTGGTACTCTGTACTCATACATTGTTATTCCTTGAAGACTATTATAATCTTTGGCGCGCCAAGCGTACATATGTTCGAAAATTGAGGCTCAGCTAGTGAGTTTTCTAGCTGGATCTTGATTTGATGTATAACAATTTACACCAATTATAGAATGGGAAAATCTTTGCTGCCAGTTCCCAAGAAAATCTCTCCTTTCTACCGATACTTGAAATTATCCAGAAAAATATGTATTATATGCTATTTTATTTGTGCTGCTAATTTCATGGGAATTGAATGCAGTATCATTTATTAATGATGAAATTCAATAAGATAATTTTATTTGGGGACCTTTACATCTTGTTGTATTGAGATCCAACAATATGGTGGTGTTTTATTTTCTTGTTAAAACTGAAAAGATTTGATAGCCCAAGAATCCAGATGCAACAACTACACCCGTTTCTATTGGGCCCAATATAATATTGCGCTATTAGATAACTTCAGTCAGATGTAGAACATATGTATTCAGCAGATGTGGCCCAATATTTTATTAAGCCCAATGGAGCAAATAATTGACCAAAGTCAATCTAATTTTGTGAGAAGGTTAAAGAAATCGTTTTTCATTTCTCTCCTCTTCAGTCTTTTCTAATTTCTTGTTCTCCAACGGCGTGGCGCAGGCCATCGCTTACTCTCCGATGGCTCAGTAAGTCTTCACAATTTATATGTCAAATTGTTCATCTTGATACGTAAACTCTAAGTACCTTAACAATTTTTAGGAACTAATACCAAGTGAAAGATCTCGTCTCTTGGATCAAATCGGTAATTTTGGATTTTTATTTCGGTGAAGAGGACCAAACCGAATAAGTCGGTTCGGTTCCATTTATAGTTAATGTGTCGTGGTTTTTTTGGTTCGGTTATTTTGTCAACATTTTCGGTTCCGATTTTTGGTTTTCGTTAAAAAAATTTGTCAAAAAACAGAATAACCGTTAGTCATGTTAAACAATGCATTTCATAAGCCCAACCCAACAAATAGCAATGAAGAAGCAGGCCCAATCAGCTCAAATTATTTGTCCCTTCCTGAGAGTAACTTTTACTTTTTAATGTAAACCTAAACTCTCTTGTTTGCTTTTCAAGATGGGATTGGACTAATTTAGTCCAATAGGGGAAGGATTGTACTGTTGGGATTGAATTATTCCTGTGTTTGTTATATATGATAAGGGGGTAGGATAACTTTAAATTAAAAAATAAAAAAAAAATGTGTAGGTGGCGTAAAATACTGTTTTACCCTTTTCAAATAAATCAAAAACAGTCCAAAAATTATTAAAATGGGAGTAAAATAGAAATTTACTACAACAGGACAGGAATAATCTCACTTATTTTCTGGAATTAGTTTATCCCATGTATGAGGGATTAAGCCATTTATATACCGGGCCGATGGGATTCCTGCGGGCTTTAGTCCCATGAACCAAACGCAGGATTAGGTCTGGATTAAGCGGGATATCCTGCCTATCCCACCAAGCAAACATGTACTTATTATATAAGATAGGTGTAACAATACAAAAGTATATTTATTAAAATATAGTATATTTTTAAAATATAAAATAATATTAGTATTATCATAAATAAGAATATAACATTAATATAAATATTAATTTTTTCTATAAAACAGTGATAAATGATAATATATGATGATAATATCATTTCATTCCAGTTTTATTCTTTCTGCATAACAAACGGATAAATGACAAAATTTATTTCATTCCCTTCTCATGATCATTTCATTCTTCTACTCACTTCATTCTTACTAAATTCATTCCATTATACCAATCATGAGAGTAGTATTTTGCGATATTTCAGGAATCGTTTAAGTATGTATGTAATGAGCCATTCTTTTTCAGGAATTGGTAAGAAGATTTAAAGTCTTCTTGTACCAAAAATCTACATTGTTAATGTATATAACAGGCCCAAAAATGAGATAAGGATTTAGAATCTTCTTGTACCAAAAATCCACATTGTTAATTTATATAACAAGCCCAAAAATGAGATAAAAATTTTGACCAATTCTTTGAGGCCCAACCAATCATCTTCAAGCGATAGGCCGAGTTCACGACCCAGCCGACTTTATTTTCATTTTCTTTTTTTACACCTAACACTTTCTAGCAACTTCAAGCCAACACGGCTCCATTTATCATTTCTTCTTATCCTCATTTTCTTACCACCGCCGGTTACCGTTGACCGCTGCGACAGCCTCTCTATCGCCGGTAAAACCTTTTGATTTATGTGTAAAATAGTTAGTTTTGATGCGTAGATTCGAAATATACTAGTAATTTTATATTCTGATGCCGGAAAACCCGGGATGGGGACAAGGACGGCCGCCGGCCTCAGCTTGTCCGTGCGGGTGTTCGACTTATGAAACTTTGTGAATCTTATACTAATTCATAGCCCTTGTCTCTAGGATCACGTCGGTAGTTTTGGATTTCAATTTCTTGGAGTTTCTGATTTTTGTCGGTGGGTGATGTGTGTGCTGTGGCTTGTCTGTGCGTGTGTGGGATTTCGAATGTTTTGTTGCGAGTGTGTTGAGAGATCCCGAGTTAGCTCTGGTGAGGTTGGGGCTGCTCCGAGGGGTAGAATGGGTAATGTGTGGCTGTAGAAGGAGTTGGGGCTTAATTGAAGGGATCCAAAATAGGTCATGGTGTGGTTTTCTGAGACTTTGATAATCTTTTTGACTTAATCGGTCTATTTGAATTCCATCCATAGATCTTGATATTCACTGTTTGTCTGGTTTTATGTTGTTTTTACCCTCATAATGTAGCTGGCTGTCTTACCTTGGCTTTCTATAGGCGCAAGAATCATTCAAATATCCACTTTATAAGAAACATTATGCGGAAAATGTGAAGTTAGCTGTCATAAGTTTTCTGGAGCAATGCTGCTCGCTTTTGAGTTATTTATATCTGGACAACATACTCGTCTTTGTTGGGAGTCTACACAAGAATTTTAGATATGTGTGTTGACTTTGTATGGGAGCACGAATCACTTTGTGTGTGTGTGTATATATGTACATAATTAAAAGTTATGTTTAAAACACCGCAGCAGCGTACTCTCGTGCTGCTGTCCGGTAGGTTTTGCAGCAACAAGGCCGTCTGTTTTGTCTGTTTTTACCCATGTAACTGCTGCCTACTCTTGTGCTGCTGTCCGGTAGGTTTTGCAGCAACAAGGCTGTCTATTTTGCCTCTTTTTTACCCCCGTAACATAATAGTTAGCCGTAATTTATAATATTTTATATTTAGTAGACGAACCTCAGTTTGATCCCATTAACTAAGCTTGCCTATTATGTTGTATTTCGAGGTGGGTAAAATATCTATCTTATGAAATTACCTTTTTTACAAGAACTAGAAAAGTGTTTAATGAAGCATGCATTTTAATTCCTCAACGATATGTTTCTTATGAAATAATTTGGATTTTTTACGAAAGACGAGGCTGATACCCCTTGTTTGTGGGCGATTGATCATACGGGTCCCTAAACGGTGCCAAATTGCATTAGGGTTCAATTTGGATTCGTCTGCATATCCAATTTCCATGGCCTAGTCTCCGTCCGCCATCTGCGACGACGTCTCGTCCATCCCCACGGACTGCACTCCGAATCTCCGGTAGCCCACCGCTCGCAATGCGTCATCCGGAGACGGCGAGCCTCACATCAATTCGGCCTAAACCCATTTCTCGTGGCTTCTAGAACAGAAAGCTTCAATGGATCATCAAATTTAGTAAGGTAGAAAGTTTGGTGGGTGTTAATTCAAGAATCAGTTTCATGTGTGATGTGTTGGCTATGCTACTGTATATTGTTTCAGATTTGTAGTTTGGTAATTGGTTAATTATTGTTTGTAATAACTTGATATATTTGGAATTTCCAGTTGGTTAATGAAGAACCGTAGGAACGATAAGTTTTTGAATTTAGTAAGCTCGGTTATTTTTTTCTTTCCTAGCAACCTGAGGTGTATAAATTTAATTTTTCTTTGCTTGAATGAATTATTTTGAGCCCTTGTTAGAACATATCTTTGGTTTGTTCAGTTGATAGATAGAGGTTGAGTAGATTCTCTCCATTCTAGCTTCAATACAAAGATTATACAAACCATTCGATGTATACGTGCATATCAAACTTGTTTTCCCCACATTCCCACTGTTGTTGTTGAATATTAACCAATATCATTTTCTTCATATGTGTTAATCAGGCTTAATTGAGAGAGAAGAAGTAATTGGTTTGAGTTCTTCCATGCTTTTTGGGCATATCATAGGCTCTAATTGAGTAGATTCTTTTTTCTTGAAACCTCTTTCAAAAAAAAAAAAAAAAAAAAAATGGTCGGGCATGGGCCCCACCTCCCGCGCATCCTCCTGAGCGACGTGTCGTGCATGCGCAACGCCCAGCAGATCCTCCGACACGTCAACGCCTCGATCCACGACGGCGGGGCCCTCGTTCTCTCCGGAACTAACGGCTCCGGCAAATCCACCTTTCTCCGCATGCTTGCCGGCTTCAGCCGCCCCTCGGCTGGCCGGATTCTCTGGGACGGCCACGACATAACAGATTCCGGCGTGTTCCACCAGTACAAGCTCCAGCTCAACTGGCTCTCCCTCAAGGACGCCATAAAAGAAAAGTTCACCGTGCTCGACAATGTCCAGTGGTTTGAGATCCTCGAGGGCAAGCAAGGACGGTCAATGGCTGCCATCGAGTTAATGGGCCTGGGCAGGCTGGCTAAGGAGAAGGCCCGTATGCTGTCCATGGGCCAGAGGAAGAGACTCCAGCTGGCGAGGCTGCTGGCCATTGATCGGCCGATATGGCTGCTGGATGAGCCCTCGGTTGCGCTCGATGATGAAGGGGTCCGCCTGCTCGAGTTTGTTATAAGGGAGCATAGGAAGAAGGGCGGTATCGTAATTGTGGCCACGCATCTGCCGATCGAGATGGAGGATGCTATGATTCTAAGGCTGCCTCCGAGATTCCCGAGGAGGATGACTTTGGTCGACATGCTCGATCGTGGAGGCCTCGATTGAGTCGATTTTTTTTTATTTTTTTTTCGTGTTTAGTTTGTTGAAGAACAAAATAGGTAGTGTTGCAAGAAATTTGAGGCTATAAATTTCGAGACTTTCTGAGTTAGTGTTTTGAGGACTGGCTGGCTAAGTGAAGCGAATTTCGCGAGGTCGATGTTGCTCGTGGATAAATTTTTGTGCTGATAAGTTGAGATGTACACATAAATCAACAAAACTAAACTGGTTGTTGTTCTTTTGCTGATAAGTTGAGATGTACACAAACTGTGGTGCCCTCTTTCAGTTTTGTCAGCGATATTATGTATCTTGAAATCGTGATTACTCGCTTTTCGGTCCTTAAAGGAGTTGGTGATAGTGAGAGTGAAAATATGGGCTTTTGGCTTGTCGGGCACTCATTTCTCGCTTAATCCTGCCACGAATATGATCAATTGTGTGGAGGATTCAGGTTTTGTGCTGTCTTCCAGCGATGATCCGCCTGATAGAGCATTTGTGAAGGTAAGATTTTTGTGTTAAAGAAAATAACTAGAGATTTGTTCTTACTTGAGAAAGGTGATGTTTTTGTAATTTCAGGCTTTTATAATGAGAAGAAACTTTGATGACAAAAAAGCTACCTTTTTACAGGTTTACAAGTCGGGATCGTTTGGAAGGTCGCTCGACATCAACAAGTTCAACAGCTACAACGAGCTGCGCATGGAACTCAGGAAAATGCAAAAACTGGGACCCGAGCTTCTAAACAATGTCCCTCTTTTGAGCCATCAAGAGTCGAGGAATATGAATGCCGGCATAATTTCTGTCGGGATTCTTGATTTCTGAAGAGCTTTTGCTTGTTTTCATAACAAGTTATGATGATAGACAAGAAAAAGAAAAAATTGTGTTTCTAAATTACGTGTTTGTGTATTTGGTAAGCTAAGGTATTTAGGAGTATTTGCATTTTACTCGTGACCTTTCAGTATTTGCAAATTTTGTCACCACCTTCATTTTTTATTTTTTTTTTTCACAAATTGGTTCACGAATTTGGAAAACCTGCCACTGAAAGGCTGAGCCGTTCAACACGACAATGCGAGAAACTGGCCTAGACTTAGTCCGATAATTTCATATGAGACCGAACGAGATAATTCGTAGTACACGACTCTCGGACTTGGGTATGAATTCAATTTTTTTAAAACTGATGGTTGTGAGAAGATGGGTGAGGTTACGCTTAATAGCGAAAATTTTATTTTGGCAATTCAATTAGTTAAAGA